TTTTTCAATTCAGCACAATATGATGGTAACACTCGAATCACCATGCGTGCAGGATTGCCGCACAAAGAAATCTGTCCAGACCCGCACGAATGATTTGCGATACAGACACTTGGGCTGGACAAAAGACACAAGAAATAGGGTGGAATCTTATAATTCCCGGGCCCTCTGCTTAGGTGCCACGTTGTGAGATGTTGTCTTGGTGCAAGTCCTGACAGCTGACTACCATTAACAGAGTCTTGATTACATTTAGGCATTTTTGACTGAATTAATTATTGGGGCAAGGGAACTTGAAAGTCTTCTGAAAGGATAAAGATGTCTATTTTATGACATGGTGCTGTTTTGGATGTTTTTTCGTTTTTAAACATTTGATAATGAGCCATATGAAAAAGAGTAACAATTTTTTTTTTATATTTTTACATAAACTATATAAAAATTAATTAAATTGAATATAATTATATAATATTTTAATAATTAAATTGATTAAATATTAATGTGTATCAAACAAGAAATATTTAAATCAATTTTCAACTCAAAAAGTGTGTTTAGTTTGAAAAATAAATAATTTTTCTGTCAAAAATGTCTAATAATTTTAACATAAACTAAACCAATTTTTGTTTTTGAATTATTTATTTTTGAATGGATTTAGATTTAAGGTGAAAGGGATTCAAACCCCAGTTTAAATGTGAAGAGGTGCACCTTCTAACTCGATTTATAACAATTGGATCTCAAGATTTAGATACTTAAATTATTTTATTTAAAAAAAATTATATAATAAAAAATAATCCTTTCTTTTTAATTAGGTTCAAGTAAATTAGATATCTATTGTGCTACCATTCTATAAGCTAATGCTACATGTAGGTTTGAAAATAGCTAAATTAATTGAGATTGGAAACCAAATGAATATATAGTTCCTTGAACAAACCGAGTTCTAGCACTAGTAATCGGTTAAAGTTGAACTCGAGAATGTGAAGAAAAAAAAATTGACGATCTTGAGGAGCCTCTTAATTATGAACCTTCTGGAAGTACAAGTTACATGCCAAATTAAAATGAAATGAAAATTGAGGTGTTGAATTAATTTTTTTAATAACGGGCACATAATATATAGGTTAGCTCTTAGATATTATGGTCAATTTACTTTCATAGTTTGGTCGAGAGAAGACTAAATATTATATTTGGATTAAAAATTTTATGAGTATGAATTATCAGTTATCCATCTCTTAAAAAAATCAAATGCTAACTAATAAGGTAAACCACAGGTTTCTTTACCAGTTAGATCACAGCACCACATGAGGGGTTAGGATCGATGATAGAGATTAGTCGGAGGCTTGAGAAATGAAATAAATATGGGGGTGGTCCAATTAAACAGAAAAGCACCACATAAGAGGAAGGGTTTGGCTCGACCTTAATTTGGGTATTTAGACGAAGGAGTGAGTATTTTTTAGTACAAATTAGGTACAAGTGA